CTCTACGTGGATCTGTATTGGGATCTGTACTGATAGCTGCCCTCTTTATTTAAACCCCCCCCCGGACAGCTGACCCTTTTTAGGATTCATCTTTTTGTTTTCTTAGTCCAGCTCCTCATTATTTGGGTCAGTGCCCAAAGGTTTGGAGTCTTACTTAGTTTAGTAATAGATGGACCTAAAAGCCCTGAAACCGTTTTCTGTTACCCCACATTAGTACGATCCGGCACGATTACCCCACCAAAAACCTTTATAAGGGATAAAACTCATTAACACCTTATCAACCCTAATAAAGAACCCCATTTATTATCATTTAAAACTTTCTAAATGCTGAAACCGTCCTAGAATGAAAGTGTTTCCTTACGGTGAAATAAAATGGAGCTGCTCGTGTCGATTTAGTGATTAATGACCCAAAGTGAAGCTTTTTCAAAGTCAAACCGCCGTCACCCAGATCTGAGGCCCCAGTTTCAGGTGCTTCTGCTCCCAGTTCCAGGCTGAATATTCATGAGGTTATTTATGGCGGCGCGGGGCTCCAAATTGGGCTGAAGGTTACGTAAGATGGAAAATCTGACTCTGTTAGCTCTAAATGTCCAAAAAACTCCTCTTTAGTTGGGATGTTTTATCCTAAAACGAGATTTTTTTGACCAGTTAACTGAGTAAAGGAGGGTTTAATTTAATTTAATTTAATGTTTGTTCTTTGGGGTTTTGCCTTTTCCTGACTGGTCCCCAAAGTTTCTCCTTCTTTTCCAGGTGTAATGAACTTTTCACAGTTTTCTGCAGCTCTCCCTGAATGACGAGTTATAATTCATTTGGTTTAATCAGGTTTTGAAGGCAAATCACTGGGACTCTCTTTGAATTACAGATGAAAGCTTCGCTTGAGCTGCTGGAAGCTTTTTATTGAACATTTTCCCTTCGTTCTTTTGGGGTGTTTCAGAGTTCCAGCTTGATTTTTTTTCTGCTCTGTAAAGATTTCCACGTCTATTATTTATTATTTATTTTTCTCCCCCCCAAAGCTTGCTGCAGAGAGAGTTTTGGGGGAGCTTTCATGTAATGAGTCGGCCTCTCTGTTTCTCCCAGGTGTTCCGCAGGAAGGCGGTGGAGTTGGGAGAGAAGCTGCTGCCCGCCTTTAAGACGCCCACCGGCATCCCCTGGGCTCTGCTCAACCTCAAGAGGTA